CCCCTGGAGAACACAAGAAGACGCCCCCAGCCCCAGCCACTCCGAAGATCGGGGGCCAGTGGTTGGGTGGTGTGGGGAGTCATTGCACCCGACGCCTGCCCAAGCCAGGACTGCTCTGCTCGCCCACCCAGCCCGCCCACTGAGCCCCCGACGAGCTCCAGCATCCCCCTGGGAAGGCCTCTGCTGCTCCTGGGAGCAGGGCCAGCATGGGGGTCACTCACTCCAGGGTGCCAGCCCCCCGGCAGAGATGCAGGGGGCGTTTCCCATCCTGGTCAGGGATGTTGGGGTCGGCTCCTGCCACCAGCAGCACGTGGACACAGGCAGGGTGACCCGCAGCACAGGCCTCATGCAGGGCTGTGCGGCCCCCGGGGGCACAGTCGGGCCTCGCCCGCCGCCTCAGCAGCAACCGCAGGATGTCCGTGTGGCCACGGCTGGCTGCCACATGCAGTGGGGTGGTCAGCTCCTCTTCGTACGTCAGAGACCAGAGTCCTGGGGAGAGAGGGTAGGGCCTCAGCGCTACGGCGTGAGGTGGCAGACGCCCAAGCTGGGGCCTGCAGTCCCCCCACCAGGCAGACCCCAGGGCCCCCCGCCGTACTCAGAGCGCGGATGTTGAAGCGGAAATCCCTCCATCGCTCTGGGTCGCTGGTATCAAAGACTGAGTCTGGAGCCAGGCCGAGACTGGAGTCCGCGAGGATGCGGGAGACGGAGCCCACATCCCCAGCCAGCACTGCCTGCCAGAAGGCCAGGGCGGGTCCCGAGGCCGTGCGGGTGACGATGGGTCCCGGACCAGACTTGGGGTGCTCCTCTGACCCTCCGCTGGGCTTCTCCACCAGCCTGGCACAGAGGGCATGTCTGTCACCGGAGGGCTCTCCCTGTCCCCTGCACTCTTCCGGGGTCCAGCTCATGAGCATGTGGGGAGGGGGAGGAGAGTGGGAGGCCAAAGGCAGAGGGAGGGAGGGGACGGCGGTGGAGGCAGAGGGTCCCTGTGAGCTGGCCTGACCTGGCCGCTGTTGGGCAGGAGCTATTCTGGGCTCCACATGACGCGACACCAGAGCCAAGGTCTAGGCTGCTGGGCAGGCCTGGGCGGGGAAGCAGCCCAGCCGCTCCTGTTCCTCAAGCCCGGCCTCGCGCGGAGTGGTCAGCCCAGCCCCCGCGGGGCCACCCCACTGCCCTCACCCCTCTGGTGGCTGCTCCAGCGAGGTTCCGCAGCCCGGCCCTCCAGCAGCAGGTCGGCTGTGCTGCTCGGGGGGAACAGCTCCTGCAGCCTGGCCAGGTCCCCTGTGTAGAGGGCATTCTGCAGGGCCATGTCTCGGCACAGCAGCGGTGATGGCGGAGGGGGACCCTCGGCTGGGCGGGACTGGGGTCCCCAGCCCCTGTAGGTAGAGGCAGAGGCAGAGGGGAGGCACCCCAGGCGGTGTCCCCAGTGGGGAGGAGAATTCCTTCCCCTAGGCATGGCTCCCTTCTGGGAGAGAGAACCAGGCCAGCAGTGCTCAGGGCGCCGCCCGGGCAGGCGCTGGGCCAGTGTGGGAGAGCGGGAAGGCACCAGCCAGGCTGTAAATAGACCCACTGTCCTGGCTGTGGGTACCCGGATGATACCCTCAGGCCAGGAGGGGGCAGAGAGGAGCAGAGAAGGGAGGGCTGAGGCCTCCAATCCCAGCCTCATCCCCTCCACTCTACTGTCACAGATTTTAAAAAGCAAGACCCAGAGGAGGGAAACAATTTAGCCCTAGGGCACACAGGCTCTTGTCACAGAGCCAGGTCTGGGACCCGGGACTGCAAGCTCTTTGCGTCTCCGAATCAGCCTCCAGGCTCCAGGGCTCTGACTGAAGGGCCGTAGGCGCCAGGCCATGTTCCCTGTCCCCACGTCGTCGTCCTCGGTGAGCCCTGAACCTTCCTGCTCCCAGCCCAAGGCAGGCGTCCACAGGAGGGTCGAGCAGCTGAGACCACCCTCCACGCGTGATCACAATCCACGTGAGGCAGCCCCTCGGGGGTTCTCTAGGGGACAGGCATCTGTCCCCAGGGCTCAGCCCATCCCAGTGGCCTCTCTGCCTGGCCACGAGGCGTAGCTGAGGAGGGAGGGAGGAGCGCCTTTGCCTGCTAGGACACTGTAGGACAATGAGATGACTCGGGGGGCGGGGCACAGGGCACAAAGGAGTAAGGAAGTCCGACAGCCATGTCCTGGCCCAGCTTGGCGGCCCTGCCTGCGCCCCGGGCTGCTGCAGTCCAGCGGCCTGGCCCTGGCTCGTGTCCCTGTGGACACCCCTCAGCCTTTCTTCACTCTCTGCAGGCTGGCACCCAAGAGAAACCCGGGACTTGCCCTGGTGCCTCCCACGTTCCCTGACACCTCTTCCCCTGAGCTATCCTCTCTGCCACAAGGGGACACCCATGATGAACTCACCAGGGACAGCCATTCTCCCTGAGGGACAGGTTGTGGGTCAGAGCACTGGGTGCAGGGCTGGGGCAGGCAGGGTGGCAGGGGAGGGGTCTTTGGAGGAAAAAGACCCTGGTCATTCAGAAACCATCAAGTCTACCAGCTGCCCTGGCCACAAGGCCCCTTTGCCCCCAACACCCTTGCTGAGTCCTCTCTTCACCTCACCCCTGCCCCTGCCCCAGCAGTCACCTCCCCAACTTTCCAAGCACATTTGCTGCGCAGTGGAGCCCTAGGCAGAGGGGACCTGAGAGACTGGCCGATCCGACCTCTCTCCGTCCGTGTCAGGGGCCTGAGGCCAGCCCGCACAGGGAGGAGTGCCATGTGGGGCCGACTCATCCCAGACCGTGCTCTTCCCTGACTCGCTGTGGCCTTCCTTCTGTCCTGTCCCCTCCACTGCCCCGCCTCCCCCGTCTTCCTAAGTTTTCTCTCTTTACCACCTCAAGGAGGAAAGCAGCTGGGAGCCAGAAAAGGACAAAGAAGGGAGAGGAAGACATGGGACGGAGGCTGAGGAAGGAACGTGGAGCCGGAGCAGAGGACGGGGCCGGGCAGAGCTCAGGAAACGGAGGCCGGGTGTGGGAGGGAGACCCGGCTCATGCAGGGCCCACAGAGGTAGGGGCAGACACGAACACGGAGGGCCACGAGTGCTTGTTCCAGAGCATCGGGCGTTTATGTCTGTGCCCTGGTCCCAGCACCCTCGGTGCGCCCAGGCCCCGCACTAGCCCCGGCTCCCTGGGACCAGCTGTCACTTCCTTTTCTTCTTCTCCTTTGCCAGCCGGGCCTCCTCGACCTCCAGCTGGTCCTTGCTAAGCCTCATGTTCTTCTTGCCCAGCGGAGTCCTGAAGTACCAGTCCTGCGTGGGTAGGTGAGAAAGAGGGGCAAGTCCATTGGCCCCTCAGTTCGGTCTCTGACCCTTCCCCTCTTTGTGCAGATCCTGTTTCTCGGAGCCCTCTCCTCTCCCCCGAAGCTGGGGATCCTGTCTGAGCTGGGGCTCCTCTTGTTCCCCTCCAAATACTCCAGGCAGCAGTGTCGGCCATTCTTGGGTATAAGGCCTCCTCTCTCCACTCCTGCAGCCCTTTTATCTGGGCTCCCAGCAGGTGGCCACTGACCCGGGGTGCGCAAAGTGGGTGGCAGCTGGTGCCAGAACCAACCAAGAGCTCTGGATACGAGGGGTCTTCCAAAAGCTCATACAAAAACTCATATTATGAACAAACTACATGAGGATTTTTGCACCAAAATAAACTCATGCTTTAGCTGCATGTTTCCAAAGCCTTTTGGAAGTCCCCTTGTATGTAGGCAGGCTGCTGGGCACCTACCCTTCAAGGAACCAGGCGAGCTGACCTGGCCCTGGCCTTCCCTGTGTCCTCTGCCCTCTGTCCCCACGTTTATCTTAGCTGTAAGTCTTCTGCATGGGGGGCAGGGGGAGGGTGGAAGCGCGCTGTGGAGAGCCAGCACCTGCAGCCTCACCTTCAGAGCCTCCTCCTCTTCCTTGTACACTGGCTCTAGCTTTGCCAGGTGCCCCAGGAACTCGGAGGCCACCAGGGGCCGCCTGGGCAGTTGCAGGAGCCGCCTCTCGTTCAGCACCGACTGGACGGCTTGGAGAATGTGACCGGGCGTGTAGCCATCGGACACCTTGGCCAGGGCACTGATGTCCAGCCTCTGGGTCACCGAAACCCCCTGGGACTCTATCATATGCTTCCAGAGCACTGTGGACATGGGAGGGCATGGGGCAGCGGGCCTTGGGGCGCCCAGCAAGCCCCCTGAATCCCCGCCTGTGTCTGGAAGGAGGACGAGCAGAGGTCATCCTCCAGATGACCCACCACGCGGGTGCCCATGGAGCTGGCCAGGCCCCAGCTAGACGCAGCCTTCTCGGGGACACGGGCTCTAGCAGTGGGGGCGTTGGGAAGGGGGCACTTGGGGAGGGGCTGCGCCCCAGCCCCTTCTCTGCCGGTGTGCACACCACCCGTTTACCGTAGCGAGAAGCATAGTCGGGCCGCGGCATGAAGAGGACCCTCTCGTAGGTGCGGCACAGCCCCTTCATCTCTGCCAGCTGCGGCTGCGCCGTGGTCCCTATCAGCATCACGCGGTCTCCAGGGCTCAGCAGCCGCATGGCCTTGGTCAGATCCTTCTTGATTCGCTTTGGGTCCATCTGCCCCAGGGAAGGAGAGGTGATGGTCTGGGTGTGGGCCGGCCGTTCGGAACGCCTGAGTCTGAGCACACGCAGACCCCACCTGGGCCTGACCAGTGAGGAAGGCGGGACCGGCCCAAGGTCGTGGTGGTGAGGTCTCGTGTGCCTGCACCAGCATGAGCCTCCTGGCCTTGCCCAGGGCGGGCCCCTGAGGCTAAAGAACCGCCCACGCAGCCCTTCCTGCCTCCCTCCCTCACCTCTCTCTCTTCCTTTGGGACTTTCTTATAGAAAGTCTTCTCGGCATTTCCGATCCAGATCACAGAGGGCTGTAGGAGTCGGGCCACCTGGACGGGTCAGAGTGGCAACCAGACGTCAGCTTTCTCTGGACCATGACCGCGTCCTCAGTGGGCCGGAACCCGGGATTGGGGCCGGCCTCGGGACCCCAGCCTCGGGACCCCAGCCTTCACTTCCCACAGCCACCGGCCTCCAGCCCAGCCCTCTGCTTGTCCGTCACACTCAGCATGAACCGAAGCACCATCGTCCTTGGTGGGCTGCACATTAAGCCTCATCCTCCCAGAAAAAGAGCCCGTTCTGCCTCTCTGCCTCCCCAGCCCTGGGGTTCAGGAGCCCCAGGCTCCTAGCCAGGGCTGGCAGGGAGACCTCACCAGTTCAGATCCTGAAATCGCACCGACAGGCAGGCGGTACCTCCTACACGGCCAGCCCGCCCCGCTCTGCTGTCACAAGCCTGAGAACCAGAAACGCCCGAGCCAGGGACCAGACCTTGAAGACCATGTGCACCACCATCTGCGGCCCGGCCCTGCCGGGGTATTTGCCCTGCAGGTTGCTGGGTGACAGGTCGAACAGGTTGGCTCCCGTCTCGGTGCACACGGCCTTGACCAGCATCCTCTTCCCCATGCCGGAGGGGCCCACCAGGAGGATGGAGCGGATGAGAGGCGCCATGGCGTGTATGTCGGGGGAGCCTGAGAAGAAGGAGGCGGGGCCCAGGGCAGCCGATGGGCCAGCAGGGGGCGGGGCTGCGCAGACTGCCCAGTATGACCTTCCCCCGGCCTCAGGCCACCCCCGGGCCTGCAGGTGGGGAGCGGCAGCTTGGAGGACCTGAGTGGCTTAGCCACCTGCATTCCGAGCAGCCGTGTGGGGTCAAGGGAGCCACTGCCCACTCCCGTACCCCTGCTGTTCCCACTCCTGCATGTGACAGGCTGCCTCAGAAGGCCCTCGGACTCTGGTACTTAACAGGGGGAGGGGACGGACCACAATATGTCACTTGGGGCTGAGGACTGGCAGTGTGGGCTCCTCTGCAGGTCACAGTCTGGGGTGGCCCAATCTGGGTGTGGCCCCCAGCAGGGACCCAGGAAGATAGGAGGAGCCCAGCACTGATCCATGGCAT